CTCAGTCCCAGCCCCCGGGGACAGGAGCCACCCCCCAGGCATGGGGTGCAGGTGGCTCTGTGGGGAGAGGTTCCTCCATGGAAAAGGGGATGATGAAGAAAGACAAAGGAGCGGAGAGAGAAGGTCCCCTGTCCCGCAGCACCCGCCAGACACCTTCATGTGTGCCCCTTTCCTTCCCTTCCTTCCCCTGCCCTCCCTTCCCCTCCCTCTTTCCTTTCCCCTTTCCTTCTCTCCTTCATCTTTCTTCCTCTTCCCTTCCTCTTGCCCCTTCCCTTCCCCTTTCCCCTTCACCCTTCCCTTCCTCTTTTCTTTCTCCTCTCCCCCATCCTTCTCCTTCATCCTTCTCCTTTCCCTTCCCTCTTCCCTTCTCTCCTCCATCCTTCTCCTTCCCTATCCCTCTTCCCTTCCCCTTTCCCCTTTCACTCTCCTCTCCTTCATCCTTCTCCTCCTTGCCCTTCCCTCTTCCTCTTTCCCCTTTCCTTCTCTCCTCCAACCTTCTCCTTCATCCTCCTCCTTCCCCTTCCCTCTTCTCTTTCCTCTCCTTCCCCCTCTCCTTCCCTATCCCTCTTCCCTTCCCCTTTCCCCTTTCACTCTCCTCTCCTTCATCCTTCTCCTCCTTGCCCTTCCCTCTTCCTCTTTCCCCTTTCCTTCTCTCCTCTATCCTTCTCCTCCTTCCCCTTCCTTTCCCCTTTCCTCTTCCCTATCCTTCCTTTCCCTTTCTTTCTCTCCTCCATCCTTCTCCTTCCCCTTCCCTCTTCCCTTGCCTTTCCCCTTTCCTTCTCTCCTCTATCCTTCTCCTCTTTCCCCATCCCCCTTCCCTTCCCTTCCTTTCCCTTCCCTTCCTTCATCCTTCTCCTTCATCCTTCTCCTCCCTTCCTTCTCTCCTCCATCCATCTCCTTCCCCATTCTTCTTCCCTTCCCTTCCCTTTCCCCTTTCCTTCTTTCATCCTTCTCCTCTATCCCCTTTCCCTTACCTTTTCCCTGTCTTTCCCTTCCTCTTCCCCTTCCCTTTCCCTCTCTCCTCCACCCTTCTCCTTCCCCATTCTTCTTCCCTTCCCTTTCCCCTTTCCCTCTCTCTTCCATCCTTCTCCTCCTTCCCCTTCCCCTTCCTCTTTCCTTTTCCCTTCCCTTCCCTTTTCCCTTCCTTTTCCCTCTCTCCTCCATCCTTCTCCTCCTTCCCCATCTCTTTTCCCTTTCCCCTTTCCTCTTCCCTTCTCTTTCCCCTTTCCTTCCCCTCTCCCTCCCACCCTCCTCCTCCCCCACCATCCCATCCTCCGCATCCCCCCAAACCCCCCGTGTCCCACCACCCCCAGCCCCATGGCACCACTCACCTGGCCAGGCACTTCTCCTCTGCCGCACAGCGCAGCGAGTAGAGGTGAGCTCGCTGCACGTAGGTGGATGCTTGGACGTAGTTGGGGTCCGGCACCAAATCAGGGAGACCTGCCGGGAGGACGGGGACAGCCCTGAGGGCCTGGGGACAAGGTCTGGGGACAGGGTTTGGGGACCCCTTAAAAAAAAGGGAAGGGTTTTTTCCCTATTTCCTGCTCTGTTTCCTGTTTTTCACCCCAAAACGGGAGTGAAATCTCCTCGTCTGTAATTGCCGGCATTGCCCCGAAGCAAGGTGCGGATGGACAGACGGACAGCCAGATGGACAGCCAGGCTCCTCTGGGACCACTGGTCCAGAAAGCATTGTGACATCTGCCCCACCAGAAGGACCGCGATGTGGGGGATGCTCCCCAGGCACTCCATGCCTCAGTTTCCCTCTGCAAAGCCAAGCCCTGCTCCGTGACAACCTCTGCTGTGCATCCCTCCTTCCTGTGAGCGCGATGGCTCATCCCTCATCCTCCTCCCCATCTTCATCCCCATCCCCATCTTCATCCTCATTAGCATTGTGACATCTGCCCCACCAGAAGGACCGCGATGTGGGGGATGCTCCCCAGGCACTCCATGCCTCAGTTTCCCTCTGCAAAGCCAAGCCCTGCTCCGTGACAACCTCTGCTGTGCATCCCTCCTTCCTGTGAGCGCGATGGCTCATCCCTCATCCTCCTCCCCATCTTCATCCCCATCCCCATCTTCATCCTCATTCCCATCCCCATCCCCATCCCCAGTCCCATCTTGGTCCCCATCTCCATCCTTGTCCCTGTCCTCATCTTCATCCCCATCGTTGCTGCAATCCTCATCCCCATTCCTATCTTCATCCCTATCCCCATCTTCATCCCCATCCCCATCCTCATCCCCATCCCCTTTCAAGGGACCAGGGAGCTCTGGCCACACCAGCTCCTCCCTTTGTACCCAGACAATTTCCAGCACGTTTCCTTTTTTCCTTGTGATTTTTTTTTCTCCCTATTTCCTCTTTTTTTAATCTCTATTTTCCCTTTTTCTCTCCTTATTTTCCCTATTTTAATCCCTGTTTTGCCTTTTTTGTCCTTATTTTCCCTTTTTTCTCCTTATTTCCCCTTTTCATCCCTATTTACCATTTTTTCTCCCTATTTTCCCCTTTTTCTCCGTATTTTCCCCTTTTTTCCCTACTTTCCCTTTCGTAATCCTTATTTTCCCTTTTTTCTCCTTATTTTCCATTTTTATCCCTATTTTCCCTTTTTATCCCTACTTTTCCTTATTTCTCCTTATTTTTCCTTTCTTAATCCTTATTTTCCCTTTTGTTTCCTCCCTATTTTCCCTTTTTTTCCTCCTTACTTTAATTTCCTCATTTTCCTTTTTTTTTCTCCTTACTTTCCCTTTTTTTCCTCCCTACTTTCCCTATTTCCCCCCCCCACCGCGGGCGAAAAAGAACAATGCCGCCTTGTTTCTGGGCTCTGCCTTCCCTCCAGGGAATCTCGTCACTCCCGGTTCCCGCCCCGCTCGCTTGGTCATCGCTGCTGACGTCATACCCGGGGGCCGCACAACGCCGTGGGGGCGGGGCCCCAAAATCTCCTGATTTAATATTATATTTCAATAATTGACTAATTCAACCTTCGCCGTCGTTCAGAAAATGGCTTTTTCCTCCCCGTTCCTGGTTATAATAAATTCTTGGATGCTCCAGGAGAGGAACCCGACTCCTTCTCCCTCCCGCACCGCCACGGTCCCCGTTGTTATTGTAGGGTCTCCCGCACGATTTTTCCACTCCATCCCAGTAGCGAAGGCTCCAACCGCACCGGCACCGCTGGAGTTAATCAAATGGCAGGATCCGGCCTCGCCACCCTCCGGGCACCCAA